GTTTTTTAATTTAAAAGACAAGTGATTAAAAACTATATAAATTAAAATAAGACTGAAAATAGATGTTAACAGCAATTTCTAGGTACTTGTCGCTGTTCTTAGTGTTTTTTCTTGATTATTTCACAACAGCCTCTGAGATATGTATCATTTTGTACTCACATTTTATAGATTAGGAAATTGAAGAACAGAGAAGTTATATAACTTATCCAGAGTTATCCAGCCATGCTGTGGCCACGCCAGAATTTAAACTCAGTTCATCTGCCTCTAGAGTCTCAAATTTTGGCCAATGACTATGATCCTATTTTTATAAGATAAACACATACAAATATACATTAAAAACTAAAGATGTGTTTATTTGTTAAAAATGTAATGTAAAAATTGTTTTCTTTAACCTTTTTTGTAAATTTTGCACAATCCTTACAATTAATATATGTTACATTCGTAAGGATAGCTTATATTTTAGAGAGAGAAGTTGATAAGAAATGCTGGCTACACCAGGTTTTCTGCCATTTCCTAAGTTCGGAGCAGAGAGTAAATGGGATGGATTGCCTGGGAACGGAGAAGAGCTGAGGTTTAAGCAAAGAGGGTCTGGGGTGATGAGCTCAGTGCTGCCTCTGCTGGCTGCTGGTTGACTTTGTGTCCAGGCAAACAATGACTGTGGGCGTTTTAATCCCTCTTGCTGTCTCTAACTCATGCCATTGGAAGCAGGCCTAATTCCAAGTGGCGACGTGAATGTGAATCACTACCAAGGAAAGCATATTTCTTTTCCTCTTGCCCAGCCACGTGTCTGTCCTCATGATAATTCATTGGAGAGTCACTTTGCATGCGCATCAACTGGTGTATTGTGGTGGTGTCACATTGTTTTCCCTTCTGTGTAGAATGAAAAGCATCTGATAGAGTAATGCTTATTTACGCCCAAATGTCTCCATTTTCTTATGCGAAGGTCAAACTGAGGGAATCTATATGACTCTCTAGCTTGGATTTTGATCTTGAACGTGTATCTTTCCTCCCTAAGCCAACTGATGGGTTTATTCCATCATACTGATTCTGATTAACTCTGCTATTGAATCAGTTGATATCTTGTTACATCAAAGAATTTTATAGTAAAGCATAATAATGATAATTCTTTAAAAAGAGTTCCAGATGAGAAAAAGATTTGTTCTCTGTTCTTGCCTACCAACCTCTGTTATATGCCGATTATAAAAGAGTTTAGTTTTCTTAGATAGTGAATATATTTCTTTGACTCACCAATTAATTTTATAACCCAACTTTTCAAAAATTCTTTGTATTTACTATGCTTAAAGCTTGTTTAAACAGATTTAAAATTCTATATAGAAGAAAAATTGAATAGTTTAAAGATGATTTGAGGTCAGATTAAAACTCAAATCAGACTATCTTCTATGTAACTTGTCCTCTGGCTCCAAAATCCTGAATTATTACTCAGAAACAGACGTACTGCACTTTTCATTCACTGGCTAGTTTAACTAGGAATTAATTGTTAGCATGCTCTGGATAAAAGCTTTTAGATATATCCTATTGTTTCTGAAAATAATGTAAAGGGACATAAAAGTGTCCATTTCCTTGATTGTGAAAGTTGCATTCCTAATTAGGTTACATCTATATTACTGTCCTGCAGAGATGCCTTCCCCAAATTATTGCTTAATAGCTGCACTCTTCACCTATGAAAAGGCCAGTGCGTTTGCAAAGATGTGTCATAAGTCACTTGGAAAAGTTTTCTTGTAACACTGAATTTAAAGACATTATCTAGTATTATTTTTTAATTATTTTATTGAGGTCACATTGGCTTATAACATTGTGTAAATTTCAGGTGTACATTACTATATATCAGTTTCTGTAGAGACTGCTTCCTGTTCACCACCAATAGTCCAGTTTTTATCCTTCACCGTACATATATGCCCCTTTACCTCTTTTACCTTCCCCCGACCCATTCTTCTCTGGTAACCACCAGTCTGTTCTCCTTGGCTTTGTGTTTGTTTATATTCCGCATATGAGTGAAATCATATGGTATTTGTCCTTACTTATGGCTGAGTAGTATTCCATTCATATATATATATATATTTTTTTATATATCACATCTTCTTTATCCATTCATCTGTTGATGGGCATTTGAGTTGCTTCCATGAAAGACTATTATTTTATCTGGTGACCCTTATATTTGAGTGAAATGAAAGCCTCCCGGATGTCAGCCCAAGAAGACTCTGCAAATGACCTTAGAGACCTCCTTTTGTCATAAATTGAAAACCGTATCGTTCCTTTTTGCCTTGACTGACAGAGATCTCAAAATTCAGCTTAGAACTTAATTGGAGCAACTATTTCATACCTAAAGATGAAAGTATGTATAGAGTCTCTGCTATAAATTTTGTTTTGGCTGTGTTTAATTGTCCTGTTTAACAGAGATTTTAAAATTATAAACTGCTAGAAATAATTCTCAGAGTTCTAAGTATAAATAATAAACATACTTCTTGGCAGGAAGAATATATGTTTAGTTGTCATTTCCTGTTATATAAATACTCTCATTTGGGGTGTTCAGCAAATTGGGATGTTACAGAACTTTTTATCCCGTATTCTCATGTTGGAAATTCAATTATGTAACGACTATGGTAAAGGAAAATATTTAAAACATAGTCTCTTTGGTTACTATTTCAGCTTAATTTTGACACTAAATATTCAAATGCTTTGACCTATTTTTAGCCCAAACGTATCCCAAATATAATGAAATATTAAGTAGTAGATTTCCTCTTTCCCTTATTCTTTACCTTTTCCCAAAAGATATTCCTTATGGCAGATAGCCTGAAACAGTGGAATCAACCAAATGTTCATCAATAGGAAAATTAATAAATTGTGGTTTATTCACTTTTTGTGCAGTTTAAAGAAACGAGACAGAGCTATATGTGATAGAAATTATCAAAGCAAATTGATAGATACAAAATGGAGTTGCAAAATACATACACCTTGACACTTGGCACAAAGTGTAAAATACTTTTTTCAGGGATATATTTATGAACATAAATCAAAATTTTGGGAGGATACCTGCCAAATTCTTATCTAATTTCCATCCGGGGAAGGAATTGTGATATTTATGGAAGTTCAAAGGGATTTTAGTTTTTTTATGTAATTTTTCGAACTTTTTACAAATTTTTAAACTTGTAATTTATATATTTTAAGATGATGTTATATTGAAATGCCAAACCTGGATAGCCTTAATTATATCTCTGGTTTTGAAAATTGCCTTAGTGTCCCTAGGCGGATTCTGAGTTGTGCTGACACAAGACTAGGACATTGAGAAAGAGGAAACGATCATTTACTAAATCAGAAAAAAAACAACAAAAAGCTTCTTTTACTATAGAAGATTTCTTTTTATACTGATACCTCTTGTTCTTCTGCTGACCTTCCCTCACCCTTAAGAAATCATGGAAATTTTAAGCTAACGGTACAATGACTGTGGGTTGAGGCAAAGCTCAACTGGGCCGAAGTCAGCTTGGCACATTGTCATGCTGTTTTTGTATTTATTTCTTTCAACTTTAACACCCACATTTTATTAAGTGAGACTGTGGATAAAAGAGGAAGCTCAGAATCCTGTTTGGACACCGTTTAGGAAGGAAACCAGGTCTTTATGGGGCACCCCCTTCCCCTTAGCCACTGGCCAGGAAAACCATCTTTCTGTTTAAAACCTATTCAGTCTGAGAGAGGTGGGGTGACTTTGGGAAGGAAGGTGACCTCTCCCTTGTAAAGTGGAATGGCTCTGTTTCCCCTCATGACTTATTCAACTCATTTCCACCACTGTTTATAAGAACACTTGTGCTGAATGCTTGTAGTGACAGCAATAGTCATTTAAAATATGGCTCAAATTTCATGGCCTCAAATTTCCTGTGTTATTTCGAATCTTGGATCCTTGCAATCCCAAATGGAGCTTTTGGTCAGCTCGGGTTTTGCCGATGGCCTTTAGGAGTTACCAGGCATGCTTCTTATAAGCCAGAAGTTTAATCAATACATATGCTACTACTGTGTGTACTCAGAGCATGGCTGCTATCAAACCTGAAAAGAAGATGCCTTAATGGGAGTCAGGTTATTTCCAAAAGGATATAGGAGATGTTTTTCTTAGATGTCTTACATGCTGGGGCCCGCAGGTAGTTAGTGTATGGAACTAATATGAGATGCTGGCCCAGAGAGGATCTCAGAGGAACTTGTGCCTTTTCAAAGTTTTTGGATTGTGACCTCAACTTTAGCTACACTGATTTATTTAATGTGCATTGCTCTGTGGCTCTGAAACACTGATCATTTTTTAAAACTTGGTTCCTTTATTCATTTCTGAAAAATATCTCAATAACCTTTTTATTTTGGAAAAATTTTAGCTCTATAGAAAAGATGTAAAGATAAGACAGAGTTCCCATATACCCCTCACCTAGTTTCCCACAGTGTTAACATCTTACATTGCCATGATACACTTATCAAAACCAAAAAATCTGACATTGTACATTACTATTAACTAAACTCTGGTCTTTATTTGGGTTCTACCAATTTTTCCACTAATGGCCTTTTTCTGTTCCAGGATCCAACTCAGGGTACCACACTGCATTTAGTCATCTTATCTCCTTAATCTTCTGATTTATGACAGTTTCCAAGTTTTTCCTTTTTCCCATGACCTTGGCAATCTTATGGAGTACTGGCCAGGAATTTTGTAGGATATTCATCATTTTTTAATAAATAAAAATGTATAACCTCTGGGATTTTTGAAAGAAAGCCTGAATAGACTTAGTAATAATTTGTACCACTAATTTTCCATTCATACACCAGTTTCAGCCTGGTAATTTTTCACTTTATCTTTTTATTAGTTACAACAGCACTCTAGAATTAAAAGTTGGTTTATGATGGATTTAATATTTGCATCATCTGTGTGTCCATTCTGCATCCTCAGCTTTGCCTGTTCATCCAGTTTAAACCCCACAGAAAGTTTGTATTTTGTCTGTTGTTTATGACAGATTCGAGATGGACAACCAAATTGTTACGTGCTGAAGAATAAAGATTTAGAACAAGCTTTTAAAGGAGTTATTTACTTGGAGATGGACCTCATATATAATCCGGTAAGTTTATCTGGCCCATACCTCCCACATTCTCTGCAGCTCAAGTAAAAGGTGACCAGCCTGGAGAGGCTGAAATCAATGTAAGATGTTTCAGAATTGTTGCAGCTAGAGAGAGAGCAGTGTTTTAAAACTTAGCCGTAAAATCAGTGCTGGACTCTCCAGTTTCAACTGCTCTTAATCCAGTTGAGCCAGGAGAATTGATGGTGTTTAATTCTCAATAAATCTAAATGGCAAGGAAAAAATAAAAAATAAAGGAGAAAATTCCTTTTTTAGCTTTATTCCCTGTGATCATCCAAGGCGATAGTTGCCTATTGGACAGAGAGGTTTTCAAGCCTCTGTCACCTTATTTAATTGTTGTAGTAGATGTCCTGCCATCCAGTATTACCAAGACAAGTAGTTACTCAATTGGAAACTGTAGTTAAAGGAGGAATTTTTTTAAGTGTATCTTAAACCTTAGGTTAATATGAAATATGTAAATATACATTTGTTTGCCCATCTTTAGGTGTGGGCCCCAAATCATTTTTTTTGGGCATTGATTTGTTATTTTTACTTCTACAACATATTCTTTACATAATACACCCAAGATATCTATGGTAATTTCTAGTTTCACTTTCTTTGAAGAGGATATATACTTTAAAGACATTCACAGAATAATCAATATAGAATTCTTCCAGATTGTTTTTCCATATAGTCAATTCCTCAATAACAGTATGTTTGTAGTGACCCACCTTTATGAAGGCTTTCTCGAGCAACATAAATTTCAACTCTTTTGGTCTGTGCTTGTATTTCATTGATTTATATAATAATTAATTAAAATATAGAATTGCAATCATGGGTAAACTGGCATAAATAGATTTTGAAATTAGCACAGTTGATTCTTGGTGGGCGTACAATTCAACTGTTGTGAGCAGAAATTGTAGGCATGCAGGAAAATGGCCTACTTCGCTGTGAGCATTCACATGCCATGGTGTCAACAGTAGATTCTAGAAGGGGTAAGAAGAGCACAGTTTGATCCAGATAGTGGTATAAATGAATGTAGAGTAATGGAGCTTTGAAGTAATTATAAGAATAACTGCCATTTTTTGGCCACCTATAATGTGCCAGGCTCTGACATTATTCCATTTAATCCTCACAATAAACCTGGTAAATAGGTATCATGAATGCCATTTTATGATGAGCAAATGGAATTAAACAGAGGAGCTGATTTGCTAATAAATGAGTGAGTCAGCAAAGAGATCCAGATCTTTCTGACTCTATGATTATTCCCATGCTACACTGCTTCTCGTTTAGTGTCTTTAGGGAATTGTTTATAAAATCAATGGCAGGAGAATTTTCTATTTTCTTCCCAGTAATGCTAGAACTCTGGGCACAGTCTCCAGTGTGGGGGGCTATTGTTAATTCCTCTTGTTCCCCATAGCTTTCCCTTTCTCTTCACGGACATCGTATGTGCATGTTACATCACAGCTCACCCTTTATCTCCTATTTCCTTTTGACAAGCACTTGCATATAGACCGGACACAGGTGAAACCTGAGTTTTAGGGGGGAAAAGTCTTAAATAGAAAATATGTTAGTGAAATGATTTTCCAGTTGTCCATTTGATGTAAAGGAGAAGGACTCGAATTCTTCTCTTTGAGGTTTTTCTCAGTATGGTGATTTGGACAAACCTAAATCCATCAGTTTGAGAACTTCATGAACCCAGTCTCTGCAGTGGTTTAAAATAGCTCCATTGATTCGCAAAGTGGATACAGCCCCCTGGAGTCTCCCATGCAGTGTGACCCACGTGAGTCAGGCTGACGTGATGTCCCCAGAAACACACTCAAAGCACAGGGGTGGCCACCATTTCTCTGCTCCCTGCTAAAGGCCTTAGGTCAGTGGGTATTGGTTTCCATGTTCTTCAAGTCTTTAAGAAGAAAAGGAGAAGAATGAAGTCCATATAAATTCTACTCTTTTTAACAATGTCGTCTTTCTAGATCAAAGCAAGTATTAGGACCTTTACTCCTAGAGAAAAACGCTTTGCTGAAGATGGCCGCAAGCTATCCAAAAAGGTAGGTCTGTACGGTGAACTGGCTTGTGGGTACACTCAGCACCCAGCACCCCAAGTACTTAATTGTCATTGCTTGTTTGCATCTCTCCCTCTCTCTCTCCCCTCCCTATCTCTTCATTCCTTTCTGCTTGTCTCCATTTCTCATCCTAAAGGAGGACTTCAGTCAGTCCAATAAGAAGGAGAAGACTTGAAACATAGCTACTGGATAAAGCAGAGGTGTCAGCCCTTTGCTAATCTCCTGCGTTGTTCTATCAACAAACATTCCTAGCCTTAAGCCTGCATAAACATTCTCCGGAGTTTACTTGTCCTGTCTGCCCCTCTTTAATTGCAGCCATTTTCATCTTAGTCCTTCGAAGTTGCAAGGAGGTATTCTGCCCACGGAGTCCATAAAGGGATTAACCCAGTGGATCTTTAGAGACGTCTAGCCTTGGATTCTACCACAGCTGCTCCTGCCACTTTTGTGTTGTCTCAATTTAGGATGTGTTGGCATTTGCCTCATGTGAAATTCACTCTCTCTCCCTCTACCTGTCACCCTTAATTCCTCTCTCATCAGTTCAACAAAAAGTGAAGATCAGTCCGGGAGGTTTCACATTTTTTTAACATGACCTTTGCATTTCTTTTCAGAGTCCCTCCCTATCCTATTCAGAAACAGTTCAGAATCTCACTCAGTACCTATTGTCCCTCTTTGGTTGTGTAACAAAGAACAAAGTGTCCCTTTTTAAAGTGTTTATTACTTCCAGCACTTCCTGTGTGGTGAGCAGCTGTGGGTTACATAAAGCGGTTAAATATAAAGGCATCTCATCATCCTTTTGTTTCCCATAACTTCTGGGCACACTTGGGAAAGACCTTCAGCGTCTTTTGAAGAGAGCATCCCAAATGTTTTGTTTCTGTCTGCCATAACATTGAGTGTAATATTTATTTTATGTAATCTGAGTAAACGTCTTATTTTTGTATTATTATTATTGCCTTTTGCTCTGTTTACTTGAAAGTTAAAACCTGAGTTGAAGTAGGTGGGGTAGCTGCTTTGCAAACACACTGAAATGAATCTGCCTACGCCTGGGAGAGAAGACATTTCCTTTCCAAACACACCTCCATGGGGGGTGGGCTGGGCCCAGGGAGCACCAGGAGATTTGGGGCTGAGGTCCTGGGGTATGTTAGGATCCCCCCCTTTTGCCTCTCACCACAAAGTGTCCCCAGATTTTCATAAAGTTGAAACTCGTGCTTATGATGCAAATACTTAAAAGCACTTACTGCGTGACAGGCGTTTTTCTAAACCCTTACTTCTCTCCATAATCTGCAAGGTAAGTACTAAAATCAACCCCACTGAATAAGAGAGAGATTAAGAAACTGGCCCAGAGGCCTGCCCGGTGGTGCAGTGGTTAAGTGTGCACATTCCGCTTCTCGGTGGCCTGGGGTTTGCTGGTTCGGATCCCGGGTGTGGACATGAGACTGCTTGGCAAAAGCCATGCTGTGGTAGGCGTCCCACATATAAAGTAGAGGAAGATGGGCATGGATGTTAGCTCAGGGCCAGTCTTCCTCAGAAAAAAGAGGAGGATTGAAAGTAGTTAGCTCAGGGCTAATCTTTCTCAAAAAAAGAAAAGAAAAGAAACTGGCCCAAAGTTGCACAGCTAGAAGAACTGGATTCCCTTTCTAGAACTATACTTGCCTCTAGACTTTTTCTTCTGGACTAGATGAACTGAAATACTTGTACATTTCTACTATAAATGTATCCATTTCCTTCCAAGCTAGACAACATAGACACTCATTCCCATTCTTTCTGTCTCTCTCTCAAACACACACACACACACAGACACAAATTCACACACACCGGAAGCCTGGGTGCTGAAGCTTTAACCAGCTCAGTTTTGTGCTGAACATTATTGAAAGATGCTACCCTCCATCAAAGGAGCTATAAAATGCATTGGATTTTCTTTTCCTCTATGGATGGTCATATTTTAAAAAGAATTTTAGAAGTATTAGGACTTTTCCTTTCTATTATTATTTTAATTGGCAGCTATACAAAATATAATTTAAATGGCCATGCTGGAAGATCTAAAGAGCATACTTGGAGTACTTAAATCTAGTTCCCTGTTTTTCCTTTTTTTTTAAATCAGATCTTATCAAGAGATGCAGACCGTGTGAAAAGAATCACCATGGCAATATGGAATACAATACAGTTCCTTAAAAGCTGCTTCCAGTGGGAATCCACATTGAGAAGTGCAATAGCATTTGTGGTAAGCTTCCTTTTTTATGTTCAAATTATTTGCTTCTGAGTCCCAGATCCAAATGCAGACGGGTTTTATTTTACTGACATAAAGCAGAATGATAACACATCCAACATAGCTGAAGTTTACACCTGTAAGGAAACTTTAAAACATAAAAGTATGCATTCGTCTTTCTAAAATATATTACAGCATAGGTGATTATGTAGGTGATGTCTTTTTAAGACTGTACTTAAGTCGAATTTACCCTTAAATTACCCAAATCTTACTCATGTGCTATCTCTTGGTAGGTTTAAGAGATCTAATTATATATATATATATATATTTCAATGTTTTTGTGGTAGTTACTATAACCATGTTTGTATAGTCCCTACCTTGTCTGTATTTCTCTCCTTCTATACTAGTAAATACCAGTGTTTTTTGAAAAATCACATGACTAAATTGCTCTAATTCATGATTTAAGTAAATCATTCACAGATTTTGATAGATAAAAATTATTCATATCAAACCAATTGAGACATAACTGATCACTACACATTCTAAGTTGACTCAACACCACAAAGGAGAACTACCAGTGTATGTGAAATGCACTCTTACTTCTCTCTGATAGCATTGGCCATCCTTATGAGCGTAGTAAAACCGCAGAATCTCAGAGCTACGAGAGACCTCACAATCACCTAAGCCAGCCACTGACAGTCCAAGAATCTTGTAAGGACATGAAAGTTGGTGCAGTGCCCTCACTTTACGTCTCAGGGCATTCTCCTTCATTGGTGAAGGGTCTCTTCCTGCATCATACCAGTGATGTCCGACATGGGAGGAGAAACCAAGTCTCTCAACTGCTAATCTTGTACATTTTGTTTTATGCCATTAATTTCTGTACCTGAATGGTCTGAGTCGTGATCCTCAGTAAGTCATGATCGTGGTTCTTCTGTCTCCTGTTTTCTGTTGTCAATGCTCTCTTCTACCTCATGTCCTCATTTAAAAAAAAAAAAAAAAAAAGCCCAAGATGTCAATGGGTTCAAGGTGACTCCCACCTTTATTAGGCAAACAAGTATATCAGCTCCATAAGAGGCCTTTTTCTTTGCCATTGGAGAACATTCTGTTTGGTCTAGTTAATTTTAGTTTTTCGTTGCTTCAGGATGTAGAGGACCTGTGAAGGCTGCAGCCTTGACCTGTAATGTACTTTTTCTTTGGTCTGAAGTTGCCAAAACAATTGGCCTTAACAAAAACATGAAGAAGGATTTCATTAATCCGTATTTGTCTTTGTCTTGGCATTTATTCACGCGCTTCCCTTTCTCATGCTCTCCTCAGCTGAGGGCATCATGTCTTGGGTTCCTCTTCAATCTCCCCATCTGAATTCTCTTTAAAAACTTTCCATGGAATGTTCTGTGATTCTGGACAGAAGAAGAAAGTCAACACAACTGGTGGCTTCTTCCAGTCAGCACCCCAGCCAGCCCTTGTGAGGAGGAGAGGATTTCCTCTTCTTGAGCTTAGGTTTCTGGCACTGTGATTTTTAGAAAAACAGAGATCTGTTGCACTGGATTACGTATGGGAATGACAGAAATGATTAATGGGCTGTCGGCTTGATCTGGAGAGAGATTAGAACAAATGAATAGAAATAAGTTGTCTAATAGAGGGGACTTCTGAACGGGAAGGAAGCCTTGGCAGTGGGGCCACATCTGCACTGCCTGTGCCCTGAGTATGTCCTCTCTGTGGATGCCACACGGCAGATCCCTCTGCCAAGCTGGTGGGTGCAGACTGCCACATCATCCTTTCAAATCTCTAAGGCCTACAGAATGGAAAATAAATGTGATGCTCTTATTGCTGGCTCGCTAAAGTGTAATTTTGCAAGGATACGTGAGGATATGACACTGTGGGTGGCCCCACTTATGTGTGTATGGGCACCATTTTGTTTTGGACATGATTGAAGGAAGGCACAATCAATTAGGAAGGATACATGCATGAACTCTCTCTCTGAATATTCCTGAAGGTCCTGGAATGAAGAGTGCTCACTTCAACACCTTAAGTTTTCAGTTTTAATTTGAAACTCTCCATGTGAATGTTGTTCTCACATTTACTTTAACCAGCGTGGTGATCTCAGAGCTACAGCAGATATAGAGAGGTGGCTCTCTCTCCTCCCTAAGCCAATGAAGTCTAGTTTTACTAGAGAATATTTTTGTTACTAATATCATGACAGTCCTTCCAAAAGTATTTCTGCTTTTAAAGTAAGAACATATAAAGAAAATGCAGTTTTAGGATAAAGTAAAAAATATATTTGTCTCCCTTTTGTAAAAAATAAGATTATAGGTAGCCAAGCCTTCATTGTTTTGGAAAACATTTTGCTTCCATGGATCTTGCTTACAGACTTCTGTTAGCGTCCTGTACTGTACTGATAGGCGATCCACACCTGGAGGCCACCGTTGGCTGTAGGGCTGTGGCCCTGACTTTCGGAGACTCCATTAAGTGCTGTCTTTCTGCAAAATGTTGGATCATCAGGTGCCCTGGGCCAGAGAGCGAGGAAGAGAGACTGTGACTCTGAAGCCTGGCTCCTTCTCTTCCTTGCTGCGCTGTCGAGAGTGCCATCTTTCTCGCTGGTGGCACACGCTGATGTTCTCCTGTGATTTCCTGAGGACAGAATGCCGTTCCTGGTCTTTATTCATCAATGTCATCATTTGTTCATACTTCATCCACTTACCCTGCCATGATAGGAGCAGAACAATTTCGTGGTGGTCTGAAGCAAGGTCTTAAGTCAAGGATTTATTAAATGGGACTACATTTGAAGGCCTTTCTACATTAGAAATTAGGATAAGTGGTATTTGAGAGTTCACTGCGCAGGTGTGAAAAGAACCATTTTGGCTGCACCAGTCCCCAGTGCGGCTTTTCCTTCCGCTAGAGGTACAGTCCGTGACACTCGCACACAGGCTGAGGACAGAACCATAGGAATTTTTTTCTTATGTCTGTTTTGTCAGATAACATAAAATAGCCTATTCACATCATGTTAATATCTCCATTTTCAGATGATACAAAGCATGAATGTTATAGGATTGTGCTTGGTATATTCTGGCTGTTAATTTTAAGACTTTATGAAAGCCAACCGTACATTTTCTGAGGATTCCTATGGATGCGTGTATGAATATATCATGTCTTGTTGAAAGCAGGGGTTAAACAAAAGCAGCCTGTTAAGATCTAGGTCCATGCGCTTTCCAGTCAGAAGTGGATAAGTTTTTTCCTTTTTTCATTCAAAAAGGCATATTCTCAATTTTCCCAAATGACAGACAAATTAATATGAGGTGACGATTTATTGATGGAGGCCAAATGTAACTAAAATATCATGCCTAGAAGAAGCATTATATTATATTTCCTTATGAATGGATTTGTAAATATATGTGCTATTTCACAGACGTGCACATGGTCATTCCAGACAGAGACTTTGAACTCCCGCGATGTTTAACAGCTCATGTCGTACCAGCTCTTACGGTGTCAGGCACCATCCTAAGCATTTTACGAATGTTAACTCATTTAGTTCTTGCAACGACCTGCTGATTTAGGTGCCAGTTATTACCTTCTTTTTACAGATGAGAAAACTGTGTTCATAGAGGTTAAACAAAGTGTCAGTTCCTATGGTTTTAAGAGGCAGAGCTTGCATTTAAACCCAGACCATGGGGCTGTAGAAGTCCATGTGTTTAACCATGGGACATACCGCCTCTCATTGATGCCCAGGACGCAGTGATTGTGGTCCTTGTATCTAGATAGATGATAGTGACTCTAGGGACAACCATATTGGTCACTGTGGATATATATTTAGATGTTGTGAATGGGACCTAAGCCTGTTCCAAGATGCTTTGTGGGAAAGAAACTCTCATTATATGGGTGGGAATAATTCTCAGTCATGGTTATTATATTCACAAGACATGGAGCCAAAATTAAAGAAGCAAAAGGTAGAAATGTCTGTAATATCTTTGGGGAACAGCCTAGGCTCTGGGAATCACATGCATTTGAAATCCTTGGAATCCAGCTGGATGGTCTGGAAAACCTCAGTGCCTGGCTTCAGGCTGAGCCCCAAATTGGAGTCTGAGTTATGTTTTCCCCACTTTTGGGAGAAGCTCTTAGATGATGCAGAAGAGTTTTCAAGGGGACAGTGAAGGCTGAAAACAACCAAATGGAGGAGCCATGGAAGGAATCTATACTTTTCATATTCTTTTCAAGAATTCCAGGTTGTCCAAAATAAGGGATAAGAGTAGAGAAAAGTAACTATCTACATTAATATATTCCTTCAAAATGTCTTGGAATGGTAACTATCAGAGAGATAGGCCCATATTTCTAATGTGTGTGTGTGTGGGTGCTCTATTGTATATCCCCATGTCACAATGCAAATGCATTATTTCGTGACAGTTAAGATGAATTGAATTTGTTCTCAAAAGATAATATCGCGTTGTGATATTTGTATTGTAGAACCAATCATATTTATGGATTTTTTATTTTGTTTTGTTTTTCTATTGGATGCTTATATTTTACAATCCCCAATATTGTCCATTTAAAAATCTACAGTTATATCATGGTATAAATGCATTAATTTTTTCATGTGGCAAAACATTTACTTGACAGGGGGCATCATCAGAAGATTATTTTAAATAGCAGAGGTTTGCTATTGCTGTAAAAAAGGATTGCCTTTTTCTAGTTCGTTTTTCCACCAGTCTTCCAGGCACACACCTATTGCATCAAGGGAGACAAGTCTTTGGGGCATTGATGGATTCCTTATGTTATTAAATTTTTACTTGGACGTTTGATGTTAAAAAGTAATCTAAATCTACCATATATCAATGGGTATCTTCATAAAGCTATGATTTTAACATCTGTGACTTTTTTCCTGAATTTTTTGAGTATAGGAAAATGAAGAATTTATTCTTCAGAGTTGACAGGGCCTGCAATATGATACATAATTTAAGGCATCAATCAACCTCCTCCTCCCCAATAAGGTTAAAGATACAATTCTCCACTTTCTTAGTGATACC